AATGTGGTGGAGGGGTATTCTTCAGAATATGCTGTTTGGTTCAGCTGTTTTTTAAGATTTCTTTTCCAGGCATGACGGCACATGCTACCCATGTTCTTTTATTCCAGCACTTGGGAGGCAGAGGCAAGTGAGTTCTGTGAGTCTGAGGCCAGCCTGGTTTACACATAAAATTTCAGACCAGCTAAGGAGACCCTGTCCAAGAAAGAGAAAGAGAGAGAGAGAGAGAGAGAGAGAGAGAGAGAGAGAGAATAAAACGGAACAAAGCAGGAACACATTGGCAGAACCTGAGCATCGTGTGAGTCACACTGAACTAAAAGGGTCCCGTGCTCCTGGTGGCCGGAAGGGTTCAGAGGACTGCTCCCAGAAAAGTGGCCTTTTCTGGTGAAAAGTCTCCAGAAAGTCATTGAAAGTCCTGGAAGTTGTTCTGAGGACTCTCGGCCAAAGGGAAAACAGTATTCAGGAAAATCTACCAAATCCTGGCAGCAGCAGTGAGTTTGGGGCACTTGTCTTGGCCCCGTCCCCCTCTGCCCACATGATGGGTGCAGCTAAGGACAGGCTCCTCCTCCAGGACCAGCCTAGGGCTACCACACAGGCTACCAAAGGCTCTCCACCGCAGCACACAGACTGCTTCCCGGGGTCCTTCCTCACCAAATCCCCTTTGGAGGTCGGAAGTCCAGCTCCAGAGCGGCAGGAAGAGGAATCTACTCTCGGTGTCTTTGCCCAGGCTTACGGTAAGGTAGTGGGTCCCTGCCAAGAGAGCTGAGTGGGGGTCACGGTCACAGGCTGTCCCTTCCCAGATGCCAGATCTGTAAGTTGCAGGGCTGGCCCGCGCTCTGCCTCCGCTGACCAACAGTGCTGGAAGGCTCCACTAGGGGGCAGGCCAGCCTAAGGGCAGGGAACGCCCTAGCTCAAATAAAGGGTCCCCAGGAAACAAAGCAGAAAGAAATTCCAACCCAAGTTGTCAACAAACTCTAGAAACGTGGGCTGTTTCTTAAAGAACAAGGGAGGAGTAGAAAGGGGCTGTGGAAATGGCTCAGCTAGTAGAGTGCTTGCCCAGCACGTGCGGAGCCTGGGGTTTGATTCCCAGCACAGGATAAACTACCTCTTGTGGGGAGGGAGGGGAGGGGAGCAGGAATTCAAGGTCATCCTCAGGTCCTTAGCTAGAAACCTGGTTCAAGACCCTCTTAAGAAAAAGAAAACAGCCGGGCAGTGGTGGCACACGCCTTTAATCCCAGCACTCGGGAGGCAGAGGCAGGCAGGATCTCTGTGAGTTCGAGACCAGCCTGGTCTACAAGAGCTAGTTCCAGGACAGGCTCCAAAACCACAAAGAAACCTTGTCTCGAAAAACCAAAAAAAAAAGAAAAGAAAAGAAAGAAAACAGCTGGGCAGTAGAGGCCGTGCGGGAGCCGGTTCTACAGAGCAAGTTCCAGGACAGGCACCAAAGAAAGCTACACGTAGCCTGGCAGTGGTGGCGCTCACCTTTAATCCCAGCACTCAGGAGGCAGAGGCAGGCGGATCTCTGTGAGTTCAAGACTGGTCTACAAGAGCTAGCTCCAGGACAGGCACCAGAAAAGTCACAGAGAAACCCTGTCTCGAAAAGAAAGAAGAAAGAAAGAAAGAAGCAAGATACTGCTTTCTTTAACCTTGTTTTCTTTGCCTTCTTCTTTATTTTTTCCTTTTTCGGTGAGATGATAGAGTTTCAGAGATTTACAAATAAACAAAAGTGAGAGCATTGCAGATGCTCAGATCCGACTGATAAGGACTAACAGATGACTTTAGCCCAAGGAGCAGTTAAAACAGGTAGAAGCTTAGATCTGTAGGAAGGATGAGGAGCGCTGGATAAATGTCAGGGATGTGCACCTTGTTTTTCATTTTTGGTTTTGTTTGGTTTGTTTGTTTCTCTGGGTAGCCCTGGCTGTCCTGGAACTCACTCTGTAGACCAGGCTGTTCTCAAACTCAGAGACCCCTAGCTTTTGCCTTTTGAATGCTGGGATTAAAGGTGTGTAACGCCCACTGCCCAGCTCTTTTTTTTTGGTGGGGGGGTTCGAGACAGGGTTTTTCTGTAGCTTTGGTGCCGGTCCCAGAAATAGCTCTTGTAGACCAGGCTGGCCTCGAACTCCCAGAGATCCACCTGCCTCTGCCTCCCTAATGCTGGGATTAAAGGCGTGCACCACCACCACCCAGCTATGGGACTACTCTTTTTTTTTTTTTTTTTTGGTTTTTCGAGACAGGGTTTCTCTGTGGTTTTGGAGCCTGTCCTGGAACTAGCTCTTGTAGACCAGGCTCGTCTCGAACTCACAGAGATCCGCCTGCCTCTGCCTCCCGAGTGCTGGGATTAAAGGCCTGCGCCACCACGGCCCGGCTATGGGACTACTCTTATAGACATTTGTAAACTGCCTTGTGTGTGCTGGAAACTGAAACCAGGACCCCTGGAAGAGCAGGGTGGCAGAAGTGCCACCCCAAAGGGAGTGGCACCATCAGGAGGTATGGCCTTGTTGTGGAAGAGTGGAGGTGGGCTTTGAGGTCTCATCTATGCTCAAGTCACGCCCAGTGAGACAGCCCACTTCCTGTTGCCTGCAGCCCACTTCCTGTTGCCTGCAGCCCACTTCCTGTTGCCTGCAAGATGTAAGTCTCTCAGTTTCTTTTCCAGCACCATGTCTGCCTGCACACAACTATGTCCCACCATGATGATCACGGCCTGTTATGTCCAGATTGCAGAGCCCCCAAAAAACCAACAAGGAGACTGAATCCTGTATGTAAAAGCAAAGAGCCTTCTTTCTTTCTTTCTTTCTTTCCTTCCTTCCTTCCTTCTTTCTTTCCGAGACAGAGTTTCTCTGGGTAACCGCTTCCTGCAACTTGCTTTGTAGCCCAGGCTGGCCTTGAACTCAGAGATCCTCCTGCCTCTGCCTCTGCTGGGATTAAAGGTGTGCACCACCACTGCCGAGCCTTTATTCTTATTCAAATTCAAACTTGGACCCTCCAAGTGTCCAACGGGTTGACACAGTCAGAGCGCTTCGAGCTCAGTTGGGGGGGGGTTTATAATAGCAGAGGTGAGGGTGAGGGATGTCTAAGATTCAGGACCTCTGATTGGCTGACATTTGTCTAGGGGTGTCTTGGTGAAAGGGGGATGGGTGTGCTGGACTAAGGGACATCAGTGTACAACAGTTGGAAGGTTAGGAATTTCTTTTGGATGACCTGTTCCTGGGTGGTGCCTGGGTGGTCTCAGTTTGTGGTCTTTCTTGAAACCAGGTATTGCCTTAGGATAAACTACTGAATCTCAGACCTCTATTGAGGTTGTCATAGCTGGGCCCTACAGAGTGAACCTCTGGACTTATCTAAGCAAGCCACCCAATAAATATTTCCCTTTATAAGAGTTGCTATGGTCATGGTGTCTCCTCACAATAACAGAAGCCATAACTAAGACAGAAGTTGGTACCAGGGACTAGGGTGTTGCTGTGAAAGGCCTGACCATGTTTGTGTTTGGAGGAATTTAGACTTTGGGACTTAGGAAACCAGTGGAATGCTTTAAGCACTGTTTAATGGGCCATACCAGTGGGAGACAGTAGTGCTTAGGGTAATTTGATCTATGGGGAGGCTGCTCCTCTTAGCAGGGGGAAGAATTTAGTATGTTACCTAGAGATCATTCCTGTGATATTTTGGTGAAGGGCTGCCTTTTGCTCCTGTCCAAAGAGTCTGCCTGAGGCTAAAGTGAAGAGTTTGGGATTATGTCTGTTGGCAGAGGAAATCTCAAAACAGTCTAGCATAGATTCTGTCATGTATTTATTAGTGGTAACTCTGATGAAGATTTATAGTGAAAAGGAAGAAGCTGAGCAAATAAAAATATAAAATGTGCAGATTGAGAAAAGGGCACCAGGAAGTGGAACAGAGCCGAATCCTGTGTTCAGGGAGATAAACAGATTAAGAAATGGAATATAGCCGGGCGATGGTGGCGCACGCCTTTAATCCCAGCACTCGGGAGGCAGAGGAGGCGGATCTCTGTGAGTTCGAGACCAGCCTGGTCTACAGAGCTAGTTCCAGGACAGGCTCCAAAGCCACAGAGAAACCCTGTCTCGAAAAAAAAAAAAAGAAAAGAAAAGAAATGGAATAAAGGGGGGCTGGAGAGATGGCTCAGTGCACAATGGCTTAAGAACACTGGCTGCTCTTCCAGAAGTCCTGAGTTCAATTCCCAGCAACCACATGGTGGCTCACAACCATCTCTACTAGTGTCTGGTGCCCTCTTCTGGTCTAAAAGTTACATGCAGATAGAGCACTCGAAAGAAAGAGAGAGAGAGAGAGAGAGAGAGAGAGAGAGAGAGAGAGAGAGAGAAAGGAAGAAAGAAAGAAAGAAAGAAAGAAAGAAAGGGGCTGGAGAAATGGCTCAGCAGTTAGGAGCAGCAGAATTTGGTGGTTTCAGTCACGTGGTTCTGGCTTGAGCGTCAAGGATAGAAGAAAGGAGTTATGGAGTTATCTCTGTGCCTAAGGAAAGCCACTGAGGTAAGGCATGTGTCAGGGGTGTCCCTGAATGGAGGCCCAGAGAGGCCACTGCACGAAGCTATGAAGTTGAAGCTGATTGCCTTGGAGACTCCAGGATGTTGGAGATGCCTGAGCTGTGGGATACCTGCTGAGGAGAGCTGCTGACAGGGAGTGGAGCCAGCCCAAGAGAAGGAAGTGTGCTGCACTCAACAAGGCTGAAAGGAGTTGGAGATACGAAGAGCATTTTGACATCAGACACAGAGATGCAGAGTTTGGAGTTTGCCCAGCTGGTTTTCACTCTTGCTTGGGTCCAGTATTTCCTCACTATGCTCCCTTCCCTATGTTTGGGATCATAATATATATATCCTATGCCATTGTGTGTTGGAAGTTTGTGATCTGCATTTTGATTTTGATTTTATAGGGAGATTACAGTTAAGAGACTGCATGAATCTCAGAAGAGGCTTTGAACTTCAGTGAGACAGATCACTTCTTGTTGTCTGCAAGATGTAGGACTCTCAGTTACTGCTCCAGTACCATGTCTGCCTGCACATTGCCATGTCCTATAACGGACCGGAACTCTGAAACTGTAAGCTTCCCCCATGAAATGTTTTCCTTTATAAGTATTGCTGTGGTCATGGTGTCTCTTCACAACAATAGAACACTAAGACAAGCAGCAAACACCCTTAACCTCTGAGTCATCTCTCCAGCCCCCCTCTCATTTTCTTACAGGGCAGAAAATGCAAGTATCCTAAATGGCCTCTGTAATTCATATCGTTATAAAATACGTATCAACATTAGCATCAGTGCTGGAGAGCAGGACCCGACGATACAATATTTCTATAAGGTTTGTGGAGTTGAAGTGTGAAGCAGAGGTGGAAAGTGGGAGCAGGTGATTGTACAACAGAAACTGTTGACTCTGAGACTCTGACTAGAGGGGCTTATGAGCAGCCTTAGAACTATTAAGGAGCAATAAAACCAGCCAGACATGGTGGTCCATGCCTTTGGTGTCTCTACTTGACAGGCAGAGTCAGGTGGATCTCTGTGAGTTACAGGCCAGCTGAAGATACATAATAAAACTCTGTCTCAATAAATAAATAAATAGATAGATAAGTAAATAAATAAATAAATAATAAATAAATCAGGGGGCTGGAGCGATGCCTCAGAGATTAAGAACGTTGCCTGCTCTTACAGGTCCTGAGTTCAATTCCCAGCAACCACATGGTGGCTCACAACCATCTGTAATGAGATCTGTTGCCCCCTTCTGGTGTGCAGACATATATGCAGATAGAACACTGTATATACAATAAATAAATCTTTTAAAAAAATCAGAGGAAGTAGTAGTAAGAATCCAATAGAGGAAATAAAGTAAAGCAACACTATAAATTAAAAAAAAAACTTTTTTTTTTGAGACAGGATTTATTTGTAGTCTTTGGAGCCTGTCCTGGAACTAGCTCTTGTAGACCAAGCTGGCCTCAAACTCACAGAGATTCGCCTACCTCTGCCTCCCGAGTGCTGGGATTATAACTGTTGTTTTTATAAAGAAAAAAAACTTACTGTTGTCTTAGAGTTTTTATTGCCATGAAGAGATATCATGACCACGGCAACTCTTTTTGTTTGTTTTTGTTTTGTTTTTAGAGACAGAGTTTCTCTGTGTAACAGCCCTGGCTGTCCTGGAACTAGGTCTTGTACACCAGGCTGACTTCAAACTCAGAAAGATCTGCCAAAGTGCTGGGATTAAAGAATTGTGCCACCACCACCCGGCCCAACCGTGGCAACTCTTATAAGGAAAACATTTAATTAGGGTGCCTCACTTACAGTTTCAGACCATCATCATCATGGTGGGGAGCATGGCGGCATGCAGACATAGAATCCTACATCTTGCAGGCAACAGGAAGTCGACTGAGACACTGGGAGGGACCCTGATTTGGGGAAACCTCAAAGCCCATGTCCAAAATGACACACTTCCTCTAACAAGGCCATACCCACTCCAACAAAGCCACACCTCCTAATAGTGCCACTCCCTATGAGATTATGGGGGCCAGTGACATTCAAACTACCATGACTGTCATAGTTGGTTCACAATTCCAGGTAACAGTCCATTACTTTGGAGAAGTCAAAACAACAGGAACTTAAAGCAATTAATTATATTACATCCACAGTCAAAGCTGAGAGCCATGAGTTGACACATGTGTGCAGGACACAGAAGAAAGTGACTGAAATTTCCTGCTTCATGGAAAAGTCTGCTAGATTCTTGGGCCTGTAGGCTGAAGATGGATGCCCCAATGGTACAGAAGAACTCTGGGTGACTGTCCAGGCAGTGAGATGTCTCTCTCATTTCTAGAGTTTTGCAAATTGCTTACAATACACTTCCTGTTAACGTAGGTAATATTGTATCCTTCTGGGGTCTTTGATAGAGTTGAAGAATTTATAGTTATAGTTTTCCTTAGTTAAGATAAAAGATAAAGTAGATATAAATATTGTAACTGTAATTCTTGCTTGATACCTGTTTTGTTATATGTAATTTTACTATGTTAAAGTTAAAACCTTCCTTTTTTATTTAAACAGAAAAGGGGAGGTGATGTGGGATTCCCCTCTGTATGTTGTGAATACCATTGGCTAATAAAAGACTGCTTTGAGCCTATAGCAGAGCAGGGCAGAAAGAGCTAGGTGGGGAAAACTAAAGTGAATGCTGGGAGAAAGGAGGAGGAGTCAGAGAGAAGCCATGAAGTCGCAGCCGGAGCCAGACGTGCTGAAACTTTGCTGGTAGGCTATGACCTCGTGGTGATGCACAGATTAATGGAGATGGGTTAAATTAAGATGTAAGAGTTAGCCAGTAAGAAGCTAGAACTAATGGGCCAAGCAGTGTTTTAAATAATACAGTTTCTGTGTGGTTATTTCGGTTCTGTGTGGCCACAATGAACAAGTGGTCTTCCTCCAACACGTGTGTGCCAGTGTTGGTGTTCAGCTTGCTTCCTCCACTCTTACACAGCCCGGGATCCCGTGCCAATCTACGCACAGGAGGTAAGGCTTCCTACCAATCAAGATAATTCCCCACAGGCTTGCTCACAGGCCAACCCAATCTAGACAACCTTTAAAAAAAAAACTTTAATTTTAAAAACTTTATAAGTGTTTTGACTGGATGATTGTGCAACGTAGGCATGACTGATGCCCACGGAGGCCAGAAGTGGGCTTTGGATCCCTGGAACGGGAGTTCAGGGTAGTTGGTTATGCGCCACCACCATGGAGGCAGAGGGAATAGAAACTTGATCCTCTACAAGAGCAGCCAGGGCTCTTAACCACTGAGCCATCTTGATAACCTTTGGACAATCCTTTATTGACTCCCTCCATGGGTCATTCTAGGTGTGTCAAGTGACAATTAACTGTTTACTGTGTCATCACCTAGCCCAGCATTGAACTTGTGGCAAACTCCACCTCTCAACTGTTGAGATTACAGGCATGAACCACATGCCTGGCCTAATTCTTTTATATATTTTTTTTAAATATTTATTTATTTATTATGTATACAACATTCTGTCTGTGTGTATGCCTGCAGTCCAGAAGAGGGCACCAGACCCCATTACAGATGGTTGTGAGCCACCATGTGGTTGCTGGGAATTGAACTCAGGACCTTTGGAAGAGCAGGCAATGCTCTTAACCTCTGAGCCATCTCTCCAGCCCTAATTCTTTTATATTGAAGTTCATTTTTATCTATCAAAAACATAGTGTGCCAGGCGGTAGTGGCACACGTCTTTAATCCCAGCACTTGGGAGGCAGAAGTAGGTGGATCTCTGTGAGCTTGAGGCCAGCCTGGTCTACAAGAGCTAGTTCCAGAACAGGCTTCAAGGCTACAAAGAAACTCTGTCTCAGGGGCTGGAGAGATGGCTCAGTGGTTAAGAGCATTGCCTGCTCTTCCAAAGGTCCTGAGTTCAATTCCCAGCAACCACATGGTGGCTCACAACCATCTGTAAAGAGGTCTGGCACCCTCTTCTGGCCTTCAGGCATACAGACAGAATATTGTATACATAATAAATAAATAAATATTAAAAAAAAAAAGAAACCCTGTCTCAAACAACAACAACAAAAACAGCTGTGTCTGCTCTTTATTTTCCTCCTTCAGTCTGTTGCAGGAAAGAAGCAACACAGGACACCACACAGAGGAGACACGTTGAAAACAAGCAGAAAGACTCACTTCTGTCACTGCAGAGTTAAATACAAACTGACCAAACATTCTGATTAAAAGGAAGCTATTAGCCAGGCGGTGGTGGTGCACGCCTTTAATCCCAGCACTTGGGAGGCAGAGGCAGGCGGATCTCTGTGAGTTCGAGACCAGCCTGGTCTACAAGACCTAGTTCCAGGACAGGCTCCAAAGCCACAGAGAAACCCTGTCTCGAAAAACCAAAAAAAAAAAAATAAAATAAAAAAATAAAAATAAAAGAAATAAAAGGAAGCTATTGCACCAGGCAGTGGTGATCATGCCTTTAATAGGCCAGCCTGGTCTACAGAGTGAGTTCCAAGACACCAAAGCTACTCAGAGAAACCCTGTCTGGAAAAGCAAGAAAATAAAATAAAATAGTGGGTTGACAAGGAGACTCAATAGTTCCCCCAGTCACTAAGCCTGACCACCTAAGTTAGTTTTCTGGGATCCACAAGCAGAAGGAGAGAGAGAACTGACCCTTGAGAGTTAAGGTGCACACACAGATAGCAAGTCCCAGACCAGCCGTGGTTGCACAGTGACACCTTGTCTCAAGATGATGGTGAGGAGAAATAAATAAATAAACAAACAGACCAACATCAGCCTGAGAACTGAGTGACCAGACCACTGAGTGTTTGTTCCCTTGCTCTAGGAAGTTTCTGGTTACCTAAAGGAAGCCCAGCCCCTGGGCTGTAGAGTCCAGGGTAGGGGTCGAGTGTACCAGTCCTATCCTGTAAGAGGAAGTGACTTGGGGACGCTAGGAGAACCCGAGGCTAGGTCCGTTTTGATAGGTATCTTAGCCCTTTGTCCCGGTTTGGAATTTGACAGTCTGTTTTTTGTTTGTTTGTTTGTTTGGTTGGTTGGTTGGTTGGTTGGTTTTGGTTTTTTGTTTTTTGATAGCCATTCCTATCCAGGATCTGAACTATTGTGTATTATACTGAATTTACATCTTGTGTCTGAAGAACTAAGCTGCTCTGGGAAGGCGTGGTGGAGAGGGAGTAGAGGTGGGAGGAACGGCTTCCCAGGGATAATTGGAAAGCACTACGTGGCTCCGGGCGTGCGCAGTCTGTACCTGGTCAGCTCCAGTTTCTACAAGGCCGGTCCCCTCGGCGCCGAGCCGCCGTTTCCAAGGATTTTGTTCGCCGTTGCACCGTAGACCGCGCGGAGGTCCTGACGGTGCGCTTCCGGCACCGGCACTTCCGGTAGCGGTGCGCTGAGTCTGAGCTAAGGTCCTGAGCGGCTCTCGCCGCGTTCCTGCGGGTCCTCGTGGCGGCGCCGCGGGTAAGGCGGAGGCTCCGGGGCCCTGTGTCCCTTTCTTTGGAGCGTGCCCGCAGCCACAGGCCTTCTGGAGCCGCTGCCGGCCCCAACAGTGCGGGAAGTCGTCCTAATCCGAGCCCCTTCGCCGTCGTTCGGTGGCAGCCTCGGCCCCCTGCCCAGCCCAAGGGACCGGGTCAGAGAAGGAGGCTCTAGGCCAGACGAGGAAGGGGGCCCGGTGGGCTGATGTGCTCGCTGCTCTCACTGCCCGAGATCCGGGATCTCGCCTGGCCAGGTCCCACCCGCAGGGGCGCAGATCCGTTGTTCCGGCACTGACCTGTTTATCCTCCACACCCGTTCCACCAGGCTGACATTTAATCCAGCAGCAAATGAGGGGGTAAGGTCCGGGCAGGGTCACGGCTGGGGTGGGGGCGGCTCGATCCTGTGCCTGCTGACGCCTCTCCTGTCACCATCGTGTGGTATCTGCACCGTGTGTGTGTGTGGTCAGCTCCTTTCAGATGAACCTTGTACCCTCCCTGGTATGTATACCATGGCTAAAATGAGCCTGGTCCCCTTCTGCCCTTAGTGTGGAGAGGATGCCCAAACTTCAGGGTTTTGAATTTTGGAGCCGCACCCTAGGAGGTGCTCGACATGTGGTGGCACCCATGGTGGACCAGAGTGAGCTGGCTTGGAGACTGCTGAGCCGCCGCCATGGAGCCCAGCTATGCTACACCCCTATGCTGCATGCCCAGGTCTTCGTCAGAGATGCTAACTACCGGAAGGAGAACCTATACTGTGAAGTGTGCCCTGAGGACAGGCCTCTCATTGTGCAGGTGGGCAGAGGGACCATGGCTACCAGGTAGCAGCCGAGTTCTAGACCCTGTATATGAGGACAGCGTCTCCAAGCTTTCGTACCCAGGTTGAGGGTTGCAGGGCAGGGGGAGGCTGCATTCCTGCATTGACACACAGCTGCTGAGTGAACTTTCCCAAGACTGGGCTCTTTCCTGGGAGCCAGCCTGCGCCCTGGTGAAGGGACGGCTTGGATGATGTGAGGGACTTGAAGCCCCGTTGTCACCGTGATACTTCCTCTCGGTCTTGGTGCCCTTCTGTCTCAGAGCTATCAGTTCTGTGGAACTCTGTGCCCTTGGCTGCTGTTACACATCCGTGTAACATACATGATAACTCACGTTCCTAGTGGAACGAGATGCTCCCCGCTTTATCGTATTGTAAATGGGGTCGCCATGGGGCTCCTCACAGGGCAGGGAGGCCTAGGCAGGGAGTCTTAGCCTGATGTGACCATAGATGACTTTCATGTCTTCTTCAGTTCTGTGCCAATGACCCAGAGGTGTTTGTCCAGGCGGGTCTCCTGGCACAAGATTACTGTGATGCCATCGACCTGAATTTGGGCTGCCCACAGATGATAGCCAAGAGAGGTGAGGTCACTCCACAGTCCTGTGTTGACACCTGTCCGGGCCAGGCTTGTTCAGGTGGAGGCTCTGTGTGGGTTCGTGACAGTGGGTCCGAGAGTGACACCGGGCCACTCTTCTCCTCCGCAGGTCACTATGGCGCCTTTCTGCAGGAGGAGTGGGATCTGCTTCAGAGAATGGGTAAGTTGGCTGCGCACCACCATGTCAGCTGGAGCAGCCCCGGAACGTTCTGACAGGGCTCATAAGCACACACGTCTTGGCTGGGGCTCAGGCCAGGACGACGGTCATCCCTATAGGGCTTCCTTTATCTCCCACAGCCCCATGGGGACAGCTAGGTCTGTTGGGTGCTACTTCTCACTGGAAACCAGCACAGGCCGACATCACATGTGAAGACAGGAAAAGGCCAAGAATATGCCCCTAGATCTGCTTTTTGGAAAAGCTAGTATGGTTCTGTGGGCCTGGCATATAGGGACTTTTCCACCTTGGAATAGAACCATGGTTCCCTTAGAAACCACCTTTCTTTCTCAGTTCTGTTGGCTCATGAGAGACTCTCTGTTCCTGTCACGTGCAAAATCCGTGTCTTCCCTGAGATTGACAGGACGGTGAGGTATGCCCAGATGCTGGAGAAGGCCGGCTGTCAGGTGAGGGCCGTGGCTCCCAGGGGTGGTTGCTGGGATCCAGCAGGCAGTCTGGGCTCACATCCACACTGTCTCTCCCTGACAACCTTCCAAGACCAGAGGTGGCTCTTGATCCTCCTGCAGCTTTGGGTGGAGGGTGCGTCCAAGTCATTTTCTGTGGGCTTAACAGTGGGTCCCTCCTGACCCCATTTTTTTAAGACCCGCTACCTTGGTCTCAGAGCCTCTAAAACTGCCATCCCAGCTCCAGGGTGTTGACTATGGGGAGTAACATTGGGTTTACTACCGTGTCTCAGGCCCTCCAGACATCAGCCATGGCCTTCTTAGGTGAGCTCAGTGTCCATCCTCTCTGGAAGACTAGGCGTAAGCCACAGGGCATTAGACTTGGTACTCTTCCCAGCCCTCCATGTTGAGCCTGGTCAAGTGTGCTCTGAGACATGTAGCTTCTGGAAGAGCAGGAGCCACCCCTCAGCAGCCTGGGGCTCCTTCATGGGGCGGGGCTCTCAAGACCCTGGGGTCCAGGGATAGATCTGGCCCGGCTGGCCATTTTTCTTTCCTGGATGGAAAGCTGAGGAACTTAAGCAGGTCCTTTGTAATTGGTTTGGGACCTTGGCCTAGAGAATGCTGAACCATGTGTTGATCTGTCCTAGCTCCTGACTGTACATGGGCGCACCAAGGAGCAGAAGGGGCCCATGGCAGGGACAGCCTCCTGGGAGCACATCAAGGCAGTCAGGCAAGTGGATACAGTAGGTTGGGTACAGTCATTGTCCTAGCTCCACACCTTGGTGTGTTCAGCTTTACCTGGTGTCCTATGTCTAGCAGGGAAGGCAGCAATACCATAGCAGGCAAGGTGTCTCAACAGGGTGGAACTTGGTGACTGGTCTCTGTCCCTCCTGCTAAGCACTGCCCTGGTGTGGTATAGGGTCAGGCTTCTCTCCCTGCCCCCCACAGGAAGGCCGTGGGAATCCCTGTGTTTGCAAATGGGAATATCCGGTGCCTGCAGGATGTGGAGCAGTGTATCCAGGACACGGGTGTGCAAGGGGTCATGACTGCAGGTGAGCAATGGATGGCCGTTTAGTGAACAGTGTTCACTGTCCTGCCTGCTCCCTTATAGCTAGCCTGTAACCTGATCAGGCCTTCCTCCCTCCCCACTTCCCAGAGGGCAACCTGCACAATCCTGCCCTCTTTGAGGGTCGGAGCCCTGCCGTGTGGGAGCTGGCTGAGGAGTACCTGGACATTGTACAGCAACACCCTTGCCCACTGTCCTACGTCCGGGCCCATCTGTTCAAGCTGTGGCACCACACGTGAGTTGCTCCTTGGATAGGAGTTGAGAGTCAGTCTCTCTAAGCAATGTCAGTCCTCTGGAGTGCTCTGTGCTCTCCCCAAGACAACCAAGTCTGCTGAGGCTGCTGGCTTGGCAGTGAGGGAGGCCAGAACCTGGGTGGGAAGAAGTTGGTCATGGCTCAGGTGGTGACTGAATGACAGGCATCTTCCTCAGGCTGCAGGTTCATCAGCAGCTTCGAGAGGAGCTGGCCAAAGTGAAGACCTTGGAGGGTGTGGCTGCTGTGAGCCAGGCACTAAAGCTTCTGTGTCAGGCAGGTGCAGGGCTGTGGGAGCCCAGCAAGCTGTCGTGGGCCAGCAGCTTAGGTCTTTGACACATCTTGGGCCTTTGCAGGAGGACATGTCCAGGCAGCAAGAAGGAGTGAGGCCACCTGGCAACTTACCTACCTTCCACTGGATCTGCCAGCCCTACATCAGGCCTGGGTAAGCTATGCCAGCCTGCAGTGTGAATACACACACGGGGCTGAGCTACGCCAGCCTGCAGTGTGAATACACACACACACGGGGGTGAGCTACGCCAGCCTGCAGTGTGAATACACACACGGGGGTGAGCTACGCCAGCCTGCAGTGTGAATACACACACAGGTGCCCATTGTCACTAAGGCAAGTCCCTATTCTGAGTGGAGGGAGAGAAGAGGCTTTGTGTGGAGAAAGTGCTTTGGGTACTTACCCAAGATCCTTTGGTCCTCTGTGACTTTGTCCTTGGGGTTACTGGGTGGACCCTGGGGCTGGAATCTCCAAAGTTGGGCAGGCTGATCTGTGATCACAGCCTGCCTGGGCTCAGTGGTACGAACGTTGGGCCCCTGAACTTTAGATTTACCCCCTGTATTGTGTGGGCTGCACGTGTGTCCTGTGTCCTATACAGGCCCCTTTGCCCGGGACCACACCTGAGATCGGCCCAACTTGGCAGCAGTGAACTGACCGTATCTTGTTGGTGTGCCCTCTCCTTTCAGGCCCAGGGAAGGGAGCAAGGAGAATAGTGGTGGCCGCAGTAAGCGGGCTCTGGAGGAGGAAGAGGGCAGCCTAGATGGCTTGTCCAAGAACAAGCTGAAGAAGCGGCTGAGGAACCCTCACAAGACCTTCGACCCTTCCCTGAAACGTGAGTGTGGCTCTGTTCAGGCCAGGTTAACTGGTTGACTGTCAGTCCCCTGTCTTTGTCTTAACTGGAGGTAGGAGCCCGGGTTCAGAAACAGATGCCTAGGGACGTTTGTCCCGTGCCCAGACCAGACTTGGGGTTTGACACTAAGAACATGTGAAAGCTTTTAAATCTCATCTGTGTGTGATGTATCAGACAAGGCCACTGTACAAACTCCTTACCTAGGTGCTGTTCAGGTGACCACAGAGGAGTTTGCCTGTGTCAGGGCTTTGGGTTACTAGGGCTATTCTTGGCTTGCTCAATCTTGATCCAAATAGATGGAGCTGAAGGTGGCTAGCCTCTCTTATGGTTCCTAGGTGTGCAGCTTTGAGGTCTCAGTCCAGTGCATTGTCCTCTGTGCCCTGGCCATTTCGGCAACTTGGGCTCTCACACTCAGCTGCTCCTTAGGGGTTCAGCAGTCTGGTGGCAGCTGGTAGCTTTGCAAGCCTGGGGAATTTGCAGGAGGGACCTTGGGATATGTCTCAGGCTGTAACCCAGGCTGTCCTGGATCTCACGGTGTAGTCCACACTGACTCATCCTCAGCAGCAGTCCACGTGCTAGGATTACAGGCGTGAGCCACCGTACCTGGCTGTACTTTCTCTCACTGGGTGACATACTAACAGACCTTAGGGCTTTGGAACACTTGGGACTGAATGGGCAGCCCATCTGCTTCCTGTTTGTTCCCAGTTGAGGCCATACTCACTCTCCTGTGTCCACCATCTCCTGTCATAACTAGCCACATCCTGCATCCTTACCAGTCACAGCACGACTTGTAGGGGTGGCAGCCAGTCACCCTGGCTTGCCTCATAGTCATCTCATTCAACCAGCCCCCCTTATTTTCAGCTAAATATGCAAAGTGTGACCAGTGTGGAAATCCAAAGGTGAGTTGGCTCTTCTGTTGCTGTGCAGGTGGGCAGGGCAGTCCCCATGGATGTTGCTGGGTTCTAGGCATGGGTGTTGGCCTCAGTTCACCAGCTTTCTCGTACACAGGGCAACAGATGTGTGTTTAACCTGTGCCGTGGCTGCTGTAAGAAGCGAGCATTCAGAGAGACAGCAGATTGCCCAGGTGAGCAGACGCCTGCTGCACCAGCCCACCCAACCCCGCAGCAGTGGGAACCTTGGTTTCCTGACAATCATTCCCCTCTTGTTCTCCCTGTCAGGCCATGGACTGCTTTTTAAGACCAAATTAGAGAAGTCTCTGGCCTGGAAAGAGACCCAGCCTGGGCTGCAGGAACCTCAGCAGGGGAGGCCCGGAACACCAGGTGGTTTCTCCGAAGTCATGGGTAGTGCCCTGGCCTGAGAGCCAGCAAGGGCCCTCTCTACTCCAGACAGCCACTGAAGCCTAGACACTCTTAAGGAAATGCCTTACTCAGGGAATCTCCTACTTGACACAGAAGGACAGTTGGTGTCTTCAGGCACCTTGGCTGAACTTGCCCCTTTCCCACAACCTGTTTCCAGGACTGAACAATAAACCATTTCAGAGATTCGTTTGCAGAGATCTAATACTGACCAGTGGCTGCTGCTTCCAGCCCACACCCAAGGAGGCTGCTCTTCTGGCTCAGCGGACCTTGGGAGCCAGGAAAGCGGTGTGAAATGAGTGGGTATGCCCTGCCTTTCCTAAGTGGTCAGAACATCCAGGGGATTGCCCTGGGTGAGATCTTCCAAAGCAGAGAGGAGCAGAGCCTGGGGCAGTGATCAATCTGTACTTTAATGGCTACACTGCTGCAGTCAGAACTACATGGACAGGAGGGTTTCGGGGTCCCCTACCTGGGCATTGCACACAGTCTGTTTCACTGGACAGAAACCTAGAGTCAGGCCTGAGTGACCATAGCGGGCAGCTTGCCTACCACAGCAGAGAGAACCTCAGAGTGGAAGGCCAGTGAACTGGCATCCAAGCGGCCAGGCTGCTCTAATGAACCACACATAGTCTGGAGCCTCCTCTGAGGAAAGCAGGCAAGAGGCCCAGGTGCTGCTTCCATGGGCTGGGCAGGAGTGCGGACCGGTCTCTGCAGGTCGGGATGCCTTTCACATGTTGGTGCTCATCCGTGACTGGCTGTTGGCTGGCGTCAGCTCCCCTTGGCTCCCTTCTCTAGGCGGAGACTGCAGTGGACAGAGGGGTCAGTGGAAGCTGTGTGAGTGCTGCCCGTTCCTTACCCCAGCTGCTCACCTTGACATGGATCTGGTTGCGCAGCACAGCTGCCCTCAGAATCATGGCCTTGGCACGTCGCTGGAACTCCTTGCCCATCAGCAGGGACTTCTCAAAGGTGGTGCTGCGCTGATCCACATCTCGAGCATACAATATCTGTACAAGTAGGAGAAGCAGTTCAGAATGGCCCAGCAGGCCACGCCCCCAGCAATCCCAGCCCTAACTACGTACCTTGCTGTGTGAATCGATGCGGGCATTAATGAGCCCTTCCAGGATGAGCTGTGTTAGCTCATCCTCCAGAGCCGCAACTGTTGTGTTGAAGGCTGCAGCCATCTTGTGCATATCAGCTGACACGTAGGGGCTGAAATACTACAGGATGGAGGCCACAAGCTGTCCACTGTCCCCAGTGTCTGCACCCCACACAGCCTCTGACTGCCACTCCCCTCCCCCACTTACTTGGATGAGAGCCCGGTTGCGAATCTGGGTATACAGCGTCCGGACATGGGGGGCCAGGTACATGTCCAAGAGCAGGTTGTCCTGCAGAGGAGAACTGGTCAGTGACCCGAGGCACAGGCTAGCCCAGTCTCAGTGCAACTGTTCCTGTTTCCTACCTTCATCTCATCCAACATCTTCAGGCATGAGGCATACTTGGACTCATAGAATTTGAAGATGATGTCTCTGACCTGTGGCTCCAGCTCCAGGAACAGCTTGAAGGAGCTGAGGATACCAGAGTGCTCAGCTAAGAAGGGACTAAGGGCCTGACCCTGGGCAGGCACAGGAGGTAGGAGCCACCACCCAACTTACCTGCTGGAGATGACATTGCGTTGCAGCTCCTGACGGTCAAAAGTGGCTAAGGCACACAGGCCACCATAGACAGCCACATTGCTGGGGGACAGCAGCTGAAGGCAGAAGGGGAGGTGGGGCCAGAGACCTAGGGTCCTGGGTCATGGGTGCACACACCAAGGAGGAAGCCCAGAGCTGGGGCCTGGCCTTCCTACTACCCACTCAGACATGCTTAGACCTCATTCAGGAGAGGTTACCTCAATCCATGAGCCCTCACTTCCTCTTATGGACCTGGACAAGCTCAAGAGTCCTACATGTGCCTCCTCACCTCTGGGAAGTCACAGTGATCAAAAGAAGCCAGAAGGAAGCACTTCGCAGCTTGCTTATACTTTCGTGCAGCCAGCTCAGCCAGGCCTAGAGGGACCAGGCAGGAGACAGTGAAGACAGGCTATTAGAGGAGGTTACTGGAGCCCTAGGAGACTGGTCATCAGTGGACAGCCCACTGGCCTCCTGCCCCCAGTACCCCTCAGTTTGTTAGTAACAGCATCTAACTGAAGACATTCCTGTAAGTATGTCTTCAGGGAAGCCTCAAATGCCATAACATACAGCCAGGCTTGGAAACCAGCTCATCTACTTTCCCACACCCCACCGGCTTCTCTGCCTGAACACAGAAACACACGGAAGCCCTGGAGCCTGCCAGTACTGTACCTCTAGCTATTTCCCCAAGGTTACAAGGGCTTGAGGTGGCTGGAAGCCTCACCTGCAGCACACTTGAGCTTGGTGAGGATGGCCTGGGTCTGGCTGTCCCGCTCTCCACGCTGCTACAGGGGAAGGCAGCAAATATGAGAGGCCCTACCCTGCCCTCCTTGTTCAAGGGGCTCTACTCCCTGTCCCCCAGCTTACCCAGGGAAGGGTCAAGAGCAAACTCAAATGGAAGTTGAGGCTAGGAATGGGTATGGGGGCTACCAGGGGGCCCCATGGAGGTGGATCTTACCTCAGCAATCTCTGGAGTAGACTCAGCCTTGCTGACATAGCTTAACACATGAGACCAATTTTGCAAGTAGACACTGACCTGGCAGATGAGTAGGCAAGGCCGAGCTAAGTCTGGTGGCCTCTCCGGGCCCTCCATGCCTACCCACTGTCCCCTAGGTCACCTTGATGACGTTGAGGCACATGTTGATGACATGCTTAGCACTGGTACAGTAATCCCGGGCTCGTGAGTAACATTTGAGGGCATTGCTGAGGTCCCCGCAGTCCAGGTAGTGATCACCCAGGTCATCATGGCCGCGCCTATAGGCCCGGGAGTGAGTGGATACTGGTCGAGGAGCCAGCCAGGCCCAGCTGCCCGCCTCCCCTGCCCAGAGCAGGCCGCACCTGATGCTCTCTTTGATGGAGTTGCCCTTGTAATTCTTCAAGTCTGTGTCCAGCTTCTCCAGTTTCAACAGGGCCTTCTTCCGAGTGGCCTCCACCCAGGCTGTATCCAGGGGTGGGGGCTCTACTCCACTCTCAGGAACGGCATCAGGTGCGTTCTGCAGCTCCCTGAAGGATAACCTAGCCATGAGGACAGCAACAACCACAAGAACCAGGGAGGAAGGGGAGAAGACATAACAAGCCACAGGCTGGTCTTCAAGAGGCCTTTGCTTTGCCCCACCCAAAGAAGCCCACCCGCACCAGGGGCCCTTTACAGAGACATTTCCTGACCTAGGAGCCAACAGTCAGATAGGGAAGTTTTAATGGAGGATAAAGGGTTTTGACCCCCCTTTTTTTGGGGGGGTAGGAGAAGGACAGCTACACCAAGTTCTGAAGAATTAGGATCCTAGCTGTGTGCACACAGGCAAAGGAGGCCAGGAGAGAGAGAACAGGGCCTGCTACCACCTCCCTGCCACAGGACTTAACTACAGGGTACTGCTACACCACAGGACTTAACATGTACAGGGTACTGCTACACCACAGGTAGGATGCTGGGCATGACGGGCACAGAATCTGGTGGTCACTTGCCCCCTCCAGGGCCTTACCTGGTAGCCTCAGAGAGCTTCCGGTGGATCTCTTCATACATATCCACATTGAAGGTCCTCTGTACGAAGGACAGGGCCATTTTCAAGGCCTCGACCCGCAGTGGAGGACACCGGTCAGCAATGAACTGCAGCCGCTCAATGCGCATCAGGCCGCTGTAGCTGGCTGCATATTGCTCCAGGTCCTGGTGGGGGAATGGGGGGAGCAGGTAAGCAAGGACCTGACAGCCTGAGCACGGATACCAAACCTTCCCTACAGAACTGACTGCTGTCCCAGATTCTGGGAAGAGGCCACTGGTGTGGATTAAGGACCTTCGGGTCCAGCTCTGCACTGGAAAGCAGGAACACAGGCACACCCGCCAAGTGATGGAAGTTGGGGTGAGAACAGATAAAAAAGCGTGTTGGCTAGAAACAGACTTTAACGGAGGTGTTCCCACTAAGACGGTGCAGAGTCTTAAAACTGCCTGAGAAGCCAACACAGGCGGGGCACATGAAAACCCAGTTTCGTGGCTCCGAAAGATGTCACTAAAGTGGCTGCTAGGCGTCGCCATCTCCCAAAACTATCCACTACGGTGGAGAGTCTGATTGGACCCCTTAACAGACCCAAGTGACAGTAGTCCTCCCCGCACAAAGATCCGTACCAAGGTGGGGTTCTCCACCACGTAGTTGACATCAGGTGCGTTCTGGGGGTCTTCCTGGGGATCGACATCAATCTGCATAGGTTCCACAGCCCCCTGCAATACAGAAAAAGCTCCCTGACACACAGCACCAGGGAGAGCAGGGACGTCCCAAGGCACAACTGCCCTGGGCTCCCTCGGGCATTGGTGGCCAAGCGCCCCCCTCTGCTCTCCCACACTGGTGTGGGTCACAGTTCTCTGACAGATTAATGAAGCCTCCTCCAGGCCACAGATAATAAAACTGACTGACACCCTCTCTGCAGAGGTCAGGAGAGCCACAGCAGGCCGGCCACGGTGCGGAAGAGGCGCCGGGGCCTCGGGCGACGCCGAGGGCCGCCTCCCGCAGGCAGGGCGCCGGGTACCTCGGAGAGCAGCGTGCAGGCCGAGAGACTGGCGCTCAGGCTGTAGTCGCCCGACGTCCCGGGCCGCAAGTCCGACCTGCTGTGCGCAGGGCTGCGGCTCAGGTCGGACGCCGACGACGACGCGGAGCTGGGCGCCGGGCTGCCCCGCATCCTGACCGCTCCAGGGCCGCCAGCGCCCGCACGGAAAAGCGTTGGCGCGCGAGGCGGGGGCGGGGCGGGGGCCGGAGCCCAGGGCGGCCCGCGAGGCTGGCGGGGCTCGCGCGCCCAGGCCTGCGCCGCGAGCCCCGCCCCGCCCGCCGCGAGCCCCGCCCACCGAGCCCGACCCGGGCCGCACAGCCGCGCGGCGAGCGCAGCCGCCAACCCCTACCTGCAGGTTAAACACCTGAACCGGCAGCGGCATCTTCCACCCCCGGCGCCGCAGAGCGACGTTCACTTCCGGGGCGGCGCGGCCGTCAGTTCCGGGTCACGGCTCTGGGCGGGGCGCTGGTCGCTCTTAAAGGGGCCGCCTCACTCTCAGGCGGGCGCCCAGCGCCCGGGCCGGGGCGAGCGTATGAACCGTGTGCGGGGTCTGCTGTGCCGGGCCTGCCTCGCGCTGGCCGCGGTCCTGGCTGTCTTGCTGCTGCTGCCGCTGCCGCTGCCCCTGCCCCGCGCGCCCGCACCGGACCCCGGCCGGATCCCGACTCCCGGTCTGTCTCTCGAGGTCTCCCGCCTGCAGCCCGACGATGTCTTCATCGCAGTCAAGACCACTCGGAAGAACCACAGCCCGCGCCTGCGGCTGCTGCTGCGCACCTGGATCTCACGAGCCCCGCGGCAGGTGCGCACCCCGCCCCTGCCTCGCGGGTCCGGGGTCCCGGGCTGGACTCCCCTGCCCGCACCCCTGCTCCCGGGCTGAACTCTCTGCCCGCACCTCTGGTCCCGGGCTGGACCTCCCTCTCCTCCCCTCCCCCTCTGGTCCCGGGCTGGACCCCCCTGCCGGCACCTCTGGTCCCGGGATGGACCCCCCCCTGCCGGCACCTCTGGTCCCGGGATGGACCCCCTGCCCGCACCTCTGGTCCCGGGCTGGACCCCCCTCTCCTCCCCTCCCCCTCTGGTCCTGGGCTGGACCCCCTGCCGGCACCTCTGGTCCCGGGCTGGACCCCCTGCCCGCACCTCTGGTCCCGGGGTGGACCCCCTGCCCGCACCTCTGGTCCCGGGGTGGACCCCCTGCCCGCACCTCTGGTCCCGGGATGGACCCCCCCTGCCCTCCCCTCCCCCTCTGGTCCCGGGCTGGCCCCCCCTGCCCTCCCCTCCCCCTCTGGTCCCGGGCTGGAACCCCCTGCCCGCACCTCTGGTCCCGGGCCGGCCCCCTCCCCGCACCTCTGGTCCTGGGGTCCCCGCGCCTGCTCCCAGACCTCACTGGGTCCTCTGGTGCCTCATGGTGTTTTCTCCCTCAGACGTTCATCTTCACCGATGGAGAGGACCCTGAGCTCCAGCTGCTGGCAGGTGAGACGCCCCCACTGGACTGAGTTGTAGCTACCGGGGCAATTGTGTTCCTGTGTCAGGCACCTGGCTGGGTTCTCAGAGCTAGTGGAGGGCAGAGCCGGGATGGGATAGCCAGTCCACCTTCCAGTGCCCATCCTTCGGGCCATCAGCTCCTCACCCGCCCCACCCCGTCCCTGGCACCCATTTTCCTTGAGGAAGCCCCGTCGGCAGTCACCTGTTCCCACCTGGGCTGTTCTAAGTGTGGTTGGGCTGCAGTCTAAACAGGAGGCAAGCTGAAAGTCAACCCTGAAATTTCCCATTTCCAACCGTGCAGGTGGCCGCCTGATCAATACCAATTGCTCGGCCGTGCGCACGCGCCAAGCTCTGTGCTGTAAAATGTCGGTGGAATACGATAAGTTCATTGAATCCGGACGGAAGTAAGTACCTCACCCCTCAGAGAACCCAGGGCTGAGCGTGCTGGAGGCTCCCACCCAAACGGGGGGCCTCAGTGCATAGATCTCTCCCTCCGCCTGCAGATGGTTCTGCCACGTGGATGACGACAACTACGTGAACCCCGAAAGCCTGCTGCACCTGCTTTCCACCTTCTCTTCCAACCAGGACGTCTACCTGGGGCGACCTAGTTTGGACCACCCCATCGAGGCCACCGAGAGAGTCCAGGGTGGTGGCGCCGTGAGTGCTGGGGCCAGCATCCTCCCCCAGGTTGACCTAGCGAAAGCTGCAGGAGCTGAGACTGGGCTAAGACAGGCATGGGCCTGGTGGCCTGGTTCCAGGCCCTTGGAGCTAGCAAACCAAGCATAGTGATAAACAAGGGTCCAGAGACCACGGTGACTTGTTCGGAACACCTGTGCCCTCTGCAGACTCTCCTGTACGGTGGCCCAGGATAACACGACTCAGCCGGAGGGTTGATGGTGAGGAGCCCTCTCCTGGGCAGCCTTGACCGAGCTTTCCCTTTTTCCAGTCAAACACAGTGAAGTTCTGGTTTGCTACTGGTGGGGCTGGGTTCTGCCTGAGCAGAGGTCTTGCTCTCAAAATGAGTCCATGGGCCAGGTAAGTGGGAGGCTGGGAGCCCAGCGGCCTGGCTTGGGGAGGGTAAGGGATACGTAGGTGCTGACTAACCCTAACCCTCCAGCCTAGGCAGCTTCATGAGCACAGCCGAGCGGGTACGGCTCCCTGATGACTGCACGGTAGGCTACATTGTGGAGGGGCTTCTGGGCGCCCGTCTGCGCCACAGCCCCCTCTTCCATTCCCACCTGGAGAACCTGCAGAGACTGCCGTCCGATGCCGTTCTGCAGCAGGTGAGACACCCAAGCCTGGGCCTTAGTCCACTCCTATGGGGACCCAGCCTCTCTCCCAGGGGGTCTTCCAGTCATGTAGAGCTCAGGAGAGGGCTAGCCGCAGGGTGTCCTTGTCCCTGGGGAGTGAGCCCTGGGACAGGCCCTCAGGAGCAGAAGCTCATGGCAAGTCTCAGAGGGGCATCTTTATGAAGGGCCACTGTCTTGCTTCTCCAAGCCTCTACTTTAGCAGGTAAAGTACCCAAGAGGAAGAACTGACCCCCCACTCTCCCCGATCCCCCTCCCAGGTCACCCTGAGCTATGGGGGTCCTGAGAACCCACGTAATGTGGTGAATGTAGCCGGAGGTTTCAGTATACAGCAGGACCCTACACGGTGAGTGGGCACCGGGGTATTTCAGCCCCGGAGGGCTCTGGTGTCAGCCCCCTGCCCAGCAGAGCTGACCTCACTTCTTCCCCTGGCAGGTTCCAGTCTGTGCACTGCCTTCTCTACCCAGACACCCACTGGTGCCCTATGAAGAACAGGGGTGAGGTAGCTTTTCAATAACTGATGACCCCTGGTGGCTCCCTCAGGCCTTGGATTCGGCAGCAGAAGACGAAACTGCTCGAAGGCCTCCCACAATCCTTCTTCCAGTTGGGACACAAGGTTCCTCGGGATCGTGAGGACAGCTGGACTGTGTGCGGAGATCATCCAAGAGCAACAAGAAAAGTAATGCCGCCGAGCTGTGTACGGATGCTGCTGGCCCAACCCAAAGGCCCAGGAGGGGACGGGTCCCCGACCTCCCACAACTACAGCTTAAGATGGTGCCTGGTGGGCTAGTCGTGAAAGGGTGGGCTCCAGGCCTGGCCACAGACTCTTCCTGGGTTGCTCACAGAACCGCCATCCAAACCCAGAATGTGCAGACTACCTGGCCGCTGGATGCTTAAGGTCAGCCCAAGGCCCTGCTTCCCAACCACGCTGCTGTTCATCGTTACCTCAATCCCTGGCCTCCCATCACCACCAGGAGATGTTCTTCCTTTAACTGGAGGTTTAGGGGTTTCTTTGCTGAGCTTCCCAGAAATCAACAGCCAGAGCCTTTCCTCTGGCCCCTTAGGAGCAAGATGCAGCCCCAGCACCTTTTACAGGGGTGTCCCGCGGGAAGCGACTACAGTATTGAGTAAAGGCTTCTGTGACATTCCTAGTTTGACTCCTCTTGTAATAAGCAAGCTGGACACCTGGCAGCTTGGGCTCTGCGGATATTCACACAACCGCTTATTCCTCCAGGAAGGCCTGCTCCTACAGCACCAGCCACCTCCTTAACCCTCCATACTGTGAGGCCAAACAGGACTAGAGAGTGGTCTTCTTAACACATGGGATGGAACCACCGGTACACATACATGAGCATGGCAGTTATGCGTTTTGTGTGTGGGGTACGCTGGTGATATGGGAGAGCGTAGGCATAGCTGCTGTGTGCGTGGTTGTGCCTGGGTACATAGGCACATGGGTAGTGTTTGTGTGAACATGGCTGAGAGAGGGTCTGGACCCTGGCCCAAGTGCGCTTGTGTGTGCTGGTGCATATGATTTCAACTTGAGATGGGCTTATGGCTTCCCGGTGTCACTGGAGGGGCTTGTGTGTGTGACGGGCAGGAAGCAGTAAGTCGTGACTGGGTTGTACTCACCAGAAGTGAAACTTGCCTCGGAGCCCTGCATGGTGGTGCAAGCCAGTAATCTCAGCTCGGGAAGACGGAGAATTCAAGACCAGACGGCCCTATGCAGATCTGGCTCCAGAATTAAGATACCGGGGGCTAGCAGATAGCGCGGTCACTGCAGGGCTTTCCCTGAAAACCTGAGGATATGGATTTGGGCCACAAAACCCACATTAAGAGAAAACAAGCCGGGCGGTGGTGGCACACGCCTTTAGACCCAGCACTCGGGAGGCAGAGGCAGCCAGATCTCTGTGAATTCGAGGCCAACTTGATCTACAGAGCTGGTTCCAGGACAGCCAGGGCTACACAAGGAAACCCTGTCTCAAACAACCAAAGAGAGAGAGAATAAAACAAGATGTGTCGTACTTGAGGGCTGGCACCTGGGGGTAGGCTGCACGTGAACAGTCATACACACAAGGAAGAGGAAACTCCATCTTGGGTCAAACCCTATAGGTTTTGGGGTTCTTAGCCTGCTGGGTTCCAGGGAAAAGCTCTGGTTCTGCACAGTCGGGTTCCTGGTAGAAGGCCAAAGACTGAGGCTGGGAAACAGTTGAACGGGATGAGCTAGAAGCATGGAGCGTGGGAGCTGAGGCTGAGAGACAGGCACACCTTTGGATGGGATGAGCTAGAAGCATGGAGCGTGGGAGCTGAGGCTGAGAGACAGGCACACAGTCGGATGGGATGAGCTTGAAGCATGGAGGATGGAGCGTGGAAGCTGCTGCAGAGTCCTCAGCAACATAGAGATATGAGGGAGGGAAGGTGTCCCTTGTATCCGCCAATGCAGCTATGATCTTGTCACCTGCCTGGGACCCTAATGTGGGCACGTGGCAAGTCACCACCCCACCCAGCACCTGGAGTTCGGAAGTCTCCTCTGATTTCCTCCTTAGCCTGCACTGTATTCTCTCAGGGGCTCCACCAGTAAACACAGTGTCTGGATTGCAAGGACCAAGGACAAGAGCAGTCTACACCAACAGGAGGGGTGTTTGTAGACTGCAGGGGTGGTAACCACCCAGAGCCGACCAGATTGGGACTGCCAGGGCCTTTCCAGAGTTAATGCAGCTTACTTAAAGACTATGTGGTTGTATCCCCAGTACCTCCACCTGCCAAGGCTGGTCCCGTGACCTAAGCATCACATAGCCCACTATATCTGTGGAAGAGCAGCTCCCACCCCATCCTGGGATCTCTGGATCATGAGGAGAAAGATTAATAAATGCCCTCTTAACTGGGTGGTGGTGGTACACACTTATAATCCTAGCACTCAGGAGGCAGAGGCAGGCAAATCTCTTTAAGTTCGAGGCCAGCCTGGTCTACAGAGTGAGTTTCAAGACACCTAGGGCTGATACACAGAAAAACTTGATCTCAAAAGAGAAGAAAAATCAGTCTGGGTGTGGCGGTGAGTACCTATAATCTCAGCACTCAGTGTGTAGAGGAAGAGGATTAGGAGTCAAAACTTCCTAATGAGTTTGAGACCATCCAAGTACACAACTGATATTTCCCAAATACATGACCTTCTGGATATAGCTATGTCATGTTTTCCTGTCCACAGTTCACAGTTTCCGGTTGGTGTGTGTGTGTGTGTGTGTGTGTGTGTGTGTAAGACAGACCTCTCTGTCTCTGTGAGTGTGTTCACCTCTGCATATTTGTGTTCATCTAGAGGTCTGAGGTGGTTGACAGTCATCTTCAATTGATCTCCACACTATTTTGAGACAGGGTCTCTCAGTGAAAATGAAACTTACCGTTTCAGCTAGACTGGATGTCAGAGAGTCAACACCCTTCTTCTTCCCTCCTCCCTCCTCCCTCCTCCCTCCTCCCTCCTCCCTCCTCCCTCCTTCCATGATCCTCTTGCTCCTTCCCCAGGCTTGGGTGACAGATGTCTGCTGCCTCCTTGCTCAACTTTTTACCTGGATGCTAGGGATCCAAGCTGAGTCCATATTTGCACAAGGACACGACTCACTGAGCCATCTCCCCAGCCCCACTTTAGGATGTATAGTGAGAGGTGTTCTTTTTCACGTTAGTTCCTAAGTTGTGACAGCGCTGGTTGTGTCCCTCTGGCTCACATAGCCTCCAGCGGCTCTCAAAAGCTTGCCTTTCTCCCCTTCTTGGGGAAAGTCTTTGGAAAGGCCTGAGGTTCCATCAACACAGCTGGCTAGTCTCTGATATTTCTGATATTTGTGTGATTGACATTGGGGCCAGGAAGCCTTCCAAGGCTCCTTGGATTTTTTTTTTTAAAAGATTTATTTATTATGAGTATAGAGTTCTGCCTGCATGTGTGCCTGGACACCAGAAGAGGGCACCAGATCTCATTACAGGTGGTTGTGAGCCACCATGTGGTTGCTGGGAATTGAACTCAGGACCTCTGGAAGAGCAGCCAGTGCATGTTTGGTTTTTACTCAAAGAGCAAGAGACCCAGAGCTACCATGAGCTCCACATCTCCACAGCTCTCAGGGAGGGTGCTGCAACAGGCCGAGTTAATCCTGACGGAAACTTGTAAAACAGACAGAAAGAGGGTAAGGTTCCTCTCCTCTGGAGAAGCGGAGCTCTGAGCTGGGTTGTCAAGGAGGTGTGACTGTCAATTCTCTCACTCTTGGTCAAGCTGAAGGCTCTGCACAGCATTTTTGTGTTTCTCTTGGGTGACTAGCCATGCACTAATGTCCAGTTTTTGGCTGTGGCTGCAGATTTTAGTCCTTTTCTACTCTGATCTGGTCATTCCTGCAGCTCAGATGTTCTGGGAAGAGACTTGAGTCTCAGACTTGAGCCCCTGGTGGTCTGTAAGCAACAGTGGAACATCGTGCAAGGAAGACTAAAGGGGCGCATACACCTCAGGAGCAGGGGTGGAGTGTGAAGATGGGCAGCAAGGGGCACCTAGGGACGAGCTAGAAGGTTGGTTGCTGAAGCACCGGGAACCTCACAAGCTCAGCTCCCGGAACGCCAGGCACACGGACAGCAGGGGGCGCTGCAGCACAGACAGAGCCGCTGACTGGGGGCAGAAGAGAGTGGTTGCTGTCCCAAGTCCTTCCAGCACCTGGGGCTGGGTCCACCTCTAGGAAGTCAGCGAAGCAGTGATCTTCTCCTTTGTAAAGAATAAAAGAGTCGTTGGATGAGAGCCTGCTGAGGTGTGTGTGTGTGTGTGTGTGTGTGTGTGGTGTGTGTCCTAGCAACGACATTGAATGGTAAGTCAATATTCCTTCTGGTGGTCATGGCACTAGGGTTCACGGGGGTGCCCCACGCTCTCTCAAGATGGGCGACTTGAGATCACAAGGAAAGAAGAATTAAGCCCCAGGTGTGTGTAGCACAGGTTTTATAGGACATAGAGCGTGAGCTCATCCATCAGATGACCAGGGGAAACCATGAGTCACCTGGTTGATCCAGGGAGGTGTTTGGGGATGGTACCTCTGTGAGAGAGTAGGGAATTCTGGCTCAGGGTCACGGTCTGAATTCAGGTATGCAGGGGAAAGCAATAGCCGGCTAGTCACAGCAAGGCCAACGGGTCTGGTGGTTGTTCAGGACACAGGAAGAATGGAGTAGTGATGTTTAGAAGCTAGGGCGTCCTCAGGGTTACTTGACGTTAGTAAAGGACTGGCAAGGTGGCTTAGTGGATAAAAAGGTGCTTGCCATCAGGTCACATAACCTGAATTTAGTCCCGGGGCCCACATATTGGAGCCAACTCCCAAAAGGTTGTTCTTTAGTCTCCGCATGCCATACGGCAAACTTGCACACATACATGCAGACAAAATCAATAAAAATTAATTTTTTTTGGGGGGGGGACAGGGTTTCTCTGTGTAGTCCTGGCTGTCCTGGAACAAGTTCTGTAGCCCAGGCTGGCCTCAAACTCACAGAGATCCACCTGTCTCTGTCTCCTAAGTGCTGGGATAGAAGGTGAGAGCCACCTCTGCCTGGCTTAATAAAATTTCTTTTAAAAAAAATTTTTTTTTAAAGATTTATTTATTATGTGTATAGCATTCCTTCCCTGTGTGCCCGCATGCCAGAAGGGGGCGCCAGGTCTCATTACAGATGGTTGTGAACCACCATGT